TCTGAACAAGATGAGTATAAACCCTAATATAAGTTGATAGAATATTTGTTTATATTAGGCAGGGTTTACTTCCATTTTTTTGTCGATTTCTTTAGATCAGAAAGTTACATGCAGATTTTACCAAACCTTTCACATATCGTATACTGTAGGTATCACTTAAGCTCAAACATTAGGGAGTGTTTTCTGCCTTTAAGGTTGGGTCTCCAGCACTTTATCCAGCAATGGGAGTAGGTTATGAATTCTGTTAAAATGTCCATTTTGTTCACCACATAGGCAATGATGTCTCTACTCCTCATTTATGCTTACAACTTGTCTGGTAATTAGTTCAGCCATATGCAGCAAATTGATATCTATCATTTGAGAATGTTTCCACGTGTAGCTCAATATCAAGGAAATGCCTTTCAACTTAGCCTCCAGGCTCAGTGTGTAAAAGTGGATATTGGATACTCTGTTGGGAACTTCCACTGATCAAATCCCCCATATGAGATTCTGCCTATGTGAAGTTGTATTTGTGCAGAAAAGATAGAGAAATTCTATCAGGATCTAGGGAGCAATCAGAATTATAGTTTTGAAGGTGACCTAAGACTGCTGGAGCGTTTACCATGCAGAAGAAAGGGGACTTCAGGAGAATAACAAATTACAAGTATTTGACACAGCTACTAGACAATTCTGAACTACAAATAAGTTACTAACTGGATATTTTATTGAAAAACTTAAAATATTTGATCATTCTATGGGTGTATAATCTCTGTTCCCTGGGGTATTAATTATTTCAATGATGTTGCTAGACCAAAAGCATTCTGTTTGAAGGAATGTCACTTTAATCATGGAAGACTGTCATATATGACTGGATACAGTGGTATTCGGTACAAGAAAAACTGCACAACCCACCTACTCCTATACTACATTCTTGCAGAGAAATAATGCTTAAATTCCCTCCCCTAGCCTTTACTGTCTTACAATCCCATCACTGGCTTTCAAGATCAAAGAAAGAAATCATCTCAACAATACTGAAACAGTTTCATTCATTCCCTAAGAATGACTTAACATTTCAGACTTACACCACAGCCCCAACAGTTCTACTCTCCACAAATTGAGTGTTTAAGGTGTAAAAACTGATTTTATGAATTTTCTACCTAGAACTGAAGGTTATTCATAGACTAAAAGAAAATTTGATAACCATTCCCCTGATTCTCCTCTTGCCTGAACTAGCTGAGCAACATGCATGAAACAACAAAGCAACAGCCCTCCTCTCCAACCTGGATGCAAAACTTCACTACTGAGAACATGATATGAGGAGAGAGGTGCTTCCAGTGTTTTCTGAAACAGAACAGTGCTAAAGACATGGAGCTGCCAACTGTTCAAGCATTTCAAACTGAAAGAGAAAAGACTAAAGTGGACTTAAACTGAGCTGAATTCTCCCACTGAGAAATGGCCACATCAGCAAGCCCAACTCAGATGACAGAAACCACATCAACCTGCAGAGCACTGGAAGGGTGGAAGACTATTCTAACACCTGCTGAAAACTTGTTTTCTCCCTAGGATCCAACCCGTCATAGCACAGGGAAAATTATTAATAGAGCAGTGAAACCCAGAGGTTTTTTTTAAATTCTACTTACAATTCAGCCTCTTTACAAACCAAGCACTATGAAGACAGTATTTGCACACAGACATCATTCCTGTACATTTAAAAGTGGAAAAGGACCTTTCCAGCACAGCAGATACTCATTTAACTTACTTAATTGAAAAGATGACATCAGTGGGTCAACTCTCATTCCTACTTTCCAGTGGGTGTGTTTTTCACTAAGTAGGCGTATTTAGAATTTAGGACACATCTTGAGGATCAGGGTCTACACAAAGATCAAACTGACATACATTAAAACCAGATATTAATGTGAGTTGCAGAAAGGCTCTTAGGTAGCAGCCTATGAAAGTTAATCAGAAAGCTGGTAATAATGGAGTCCCCCAAAAACAAAGAGACAAATACATTTCTTTTTTCAATACTGAGGACAATCCCAGTAGCTCCATCCACAGTTCTTTTTCATATTTGTTTAAAGAATACAAAATAGTGATAGAAAAAACTATCATTAGAAAACAATACAAAATTTCACTGAACAAAGTGAAGAATTCAACAGTGGTTGCTGTATTGCATGATGTTATCTTCAAATTAGTTGTTTAGGTTACCAGATACAAACGTGCAAGATTGGCTTAAAGAAAAAAGTTATATAAGAAATTCAAAAGAAAAAAATAAGAATAAAAATTTTAAGCATTAACTACTCCTTTCAAAACACCAGCAGAAATTGGCAGTGCAATTATCCAAACTGTCCGTCATATATACCTAAATATATCTTTTGCCCTTCTTTTGTCTTTTTACTCATCCCATATCTTCCTTCCCATTGAACAACTTCTTTTCTTTTCACTGTATCTTTTGTACTTTTTAAATTGTATTTACTCTTTCAGGTTCTCACACTAGCGAGATAATATGATATTTGCACATGTGGATCTGATTTATTTCACTTACCAATATAGTCTCTAGTTGCATCCATTTATCTACAAAAGCCTCGAATTCATCTTTTTGGTAGCTGAATAATACTCCATTGTGTAAAAATACACTATCTTTTTTTATCCATTCCTCAGTTGATGGGCATTTGGCTTTTTACAAGATTTAACTATGACAGATTGTGCTGCTATGAGCATGGCCTTTGTCATACTTTGAGACAGACTTAAGATGCCAAGTTGCCCAGGCTAGACTCAAGATCATGATTCTCCTGCCTCAGCGCAGCCTCACAATGAGCTCTCCTCGCTGTACTTCATATGAGGCAAGCACATCCAGTAGTAATGGCTGTAGAACACCATCTCAACACCCAGACAGCCATGGAGAACCTGGACAGCAGCATAGCCTTTGGCACAGGGCTGGATGTGCAGTGTGGAGCCATTGGAAGAGCTCCGTGTGACACAGTATTTGCACACACAGGCATGTGAACAACTGAGCAATTTTTTTTTTTTTTTTAATTTTGGATTTGGTAATGTTTTCAAAACCAAAATGACATCTTTTAAACTTTGAAAGACAGGTAATACAGGTATGCAGGGAATATCATTTATTTTATTGCCAACCATAAAGATAGGCAAATACAACTACATTTAGCAATATAGCTGACACTGGAGTTAAGCCCAGACTCTTCTTGGTAAAGCTTTCACTGTTTCTATGTAGAACTTGCATGGAGTCCTCCATCTTGGCTGTATAAGTCTTTCTCTCTCTCTCTCTCTCTCTCTCTCTCTCTCTCTCTCTCTCTCTCTCTCTCTCTCTTTTGGTGGAACCAGGGATTGAACTCAGGCACTTGCCAGGAAAGTTCTTATTCCACTGAACCATCTCCTCAGCCCCTGTATAAGTCTTTCTCATACTGAAAATCCAACCCCTGGATGGAAAGATTTTTAAAAAATAGATTCCTTACTCACTTTTATCAAGGGACAATACAAAAATAATGTTGGGCTGCATGTCCAAAATGGTGCTGTCATGTTTGGGAGTGAGAAGCGTGATTGGCCTGCAGAGTGCCCCGCAATCAGGATGTGAAGGGGGTAAGTTCAAGTACACGTCTGGACTGTCAATGGAATGAAGATTGTTAGGTGCTTTTGGTTTATGCTTTTGTGTTTAAAGAAATTCCATGATCATGGTATCTGGTAGCTCTATGATTGCACCTAACATATTATTCTTACACCTGTATTTCCTGTAAATAGGTACTTGGATTTGGAATATGATCAGATTCAAGTCAGTTATTCCTTGCCAAGAATAATTCACAGGTTGCTTTGCATATTTTTACTAGAAAATAAGTAATGTCCAGTTGTTTCTCTGCCTGACTTCAGATATTGGTGACCTGACCTTCAATTACAGTGATTTTAGCAGATCTGTTCTTTTATTAGATAACATTTTAATTCTTTGATTTTTTTTTAATTAGGTGGAATGTTTCACCTCTCTTGCTCTCATCAAAAATAGGCTTCTAGAAGTCTACATTCAGGAAGTTAAAAATGTTATTTTAAGATACTTCATTGTTGAAATATTTACTTTTATTTCTTTTCAAATGGCAGACAAATCTATAGCTTTCTGACTTTTTAAAAGGTATTTTTAAAAATTTCCTTCAAACAAAATCTGTTTAAACTATACCACACCTACTGTTGCCCTATACCTCCATCATCCCCTAATAAAGAACAACCCTTTGTCATTTGAAGAACTTACATTTGTCATCTCAGGCTTCCTGTCCTGACCTCTCTTTGGCTTAGAATCATGCCCTGCTCCCTCCTTTGAAATTATATGTGATTTCATCTGATAAATTTCAGAAAAATAGTTTTTTACCCCTTCCTATAGTCTAGCCCTCTGAAAGTTTTACTCGTTTCAGTCTAATCCTCTAGACTGATTTTTTTTTCTATTAGTGATATATCATGCAAATCATGTTACTGAGGAAAGTTCATATTTTTTAAGATATAATGTGACTAATCCATATTTAACATAAATTTCAGTGTCATTACTTTTTAAATATCACCATTATTGTTTTCCAAATAAAAGCAGAATCTTCTGGGATTAACAAATTCTCTTTCTTTTCATTCTATTTTTCTCAAAGTGATCCTTTTGTTGTCTAAGTGGATTATTAGATGGTGTGCTCAGGCAAGGCTAACAACACCCATTATCTGTCAGAGAGTGTTAGTGATTGTGAATTGGGCGGCTGAACTCCTGCCTGCTCTCCTCAGAGGTGATGACATCTTATTTAGTGAAGGAGTCAGGCGACTGGTCTTGTAATGCTGAGGCTCTGAGCCAGGAGTGGCTCTCCAGTGAGTCTCTCCCAGACACAGCCATCTTCCTGCCCTTTTGCATGTCAGCACTGGCCTTGAGTTCCTTCCACCCCCATTATAATTCCTTGAGTTTTACTAATTTACACTTCGCTGTTTTAACAAGCAGTTACTTCCTTCTTTTCACTTACATGACAACATCATTTTTTTTTTTCTTTTAGCACTCAAGCTACTTTGGGGTTTGCTTTCTAGGAAAGTTGAGAAAAATCTGATGTAATGAAAATCGTAGAGAAAACTGATACTATCCCTCTGCCTTCCTTTTTCACTCTATTTGTATTACTTCACCATAAATTACAGTTTAAGGTAAGCATGGAAGAACAAACTTTGGCCAATAAACAGCATTCCAAAAGGTCAAAAATTAAAGTAAAAAAGTATAAACATAATAGCCTGAACCTGCCCTGCATTGATAGTGTTAGAAAGAGAAGAACAAAAACCCTGATAGAATCAGATTAACTGGATAAATGTCTGTAGGTCATTAGTTCCTGTATCATCAGCTGCTCACTGAGCACACGATCACCACCGAGGTCTGTGTATCCACCTCAGAAACTAAGTATAATAAGTATACAGTGTTTAAGTGTTGGTCAATAAAAATGATAACCAAAACAAAAAGTATTTGTCGAGTAAAGATAAAATTATGACAAACTGATAAATTCCAACATCTAAGACAAAATTAAACTTACAGTTAGTATCCAAGCACTATAGGTGACTTGATAGCTGAGGCCACAACCCATGATAAAAAGGTCACTGTTGACAACAGTGGTCCTTCATACAGTCTCCTTAGAGCCAAAAGAAAAAATGTTTGAAGATTTATTATTTTGGCAACCAAGTAAACATCACCTCTAGTAAGAGTTCTGAAGCCTTAAGAATATACTGAGCTTGCCTTTGGTGAGTGGGAATGTGGGCTGGGGACATTCTGTCACCTGAGAGCAGAGTGTTGAGAGATGCAGTAACCACTCGTGGTGAGCTGATGCTGGAGAAATAACATTTGTTGGAATTAGAATCCCCCTACACATACACATCTGAAAACAGCCAGGACAGGCTGTGGAATCATTCCAGCTAATAGGCCATTGTAAGCCTCAGTGAGAACAAGGTGGACTGAAAGGAGGGTGCCTGCAGTGATCTTAACCCCATGGCCTGTGAAGCAGAAACACCAGAGACGTTTGTCGGTAACCACCCACCTCTTTTGGGAATATATAAGGCAAACTACATTCTATTCTTTATTCTAAAGTTTATTTGTCATCAGTTGTATGGTAAATCCCTAAAGAATTACAACCCATATAGCCCAGGGACATCACTTTCCATACAAAGGAATGAAAGCAAAGAGGCTAGGACCAAGCACCACATTTGTGGGAAAAAAAACACGTGCACACACGCGCATGTGTGTGCACAGACATACACACTTCTCCCTTCAAGACATAAAACCCTGTTACTGGACCTGTAAGGGCCATTTGGACTTCTAGTGTCTGAAGTTTACTGGAAAAAATGTACCTTATATTACAGAATTAATAGTTTTAGTATTCCGCTCTAAAGCCATATGGATAACAAAAAAAATCAAAAGTGTGGTGGGGGACAGTAGAAGTGTAAGAAAGACTTTTGAAAAATGAAAAATTGTGTTCCCTACTTAAAAGCTGTGCACAATCGAGGTCCTCAGAGAACCTGGCATCCAAGATTCACCCCGTCCCAGCTTAGCCAGGCCAGCAGCATCCTCCTTGCCCCATGGCCCCTTGCTCCCTCTGCTGACCGCCCTGGTGCTGTGCGACTGTGGGCTGCTGGACTCTGGGCTCTGAGCTGCCCCAGAGATCTATCCTGCTCAGCAGGTAGACTGTTGTACTGTTGGACCAGCGCTGTTGGACCAGATGAGGAGGATCTCCACTCTCTTGCGTCTGAAGGACAGAGGGAGCTGGGATTCCCTAGGGAGGCAGTGGCTGGCATCCAGTCCCAGAAGGTCTAGGCCACACCTGTCCTCCAGGACCTGCTGCAGTAGCTGTGCACCCCCACCCACACAGAGCGCTCCTCAGCTTCCTGGAGCAGACCTTCTTCAATGGACTCCTCACTGTGCTTGATGAGCAGCTGGAAGGCATGAAGTTCTGCTTGGTTCGCAGTGGGAGAGGACGATTCCTGGCAGCTGTGGACTCTGCCCAAAGGTACTTCAGGAGAGCCTTGCAGGGTTATCTCCAGGATATCCAGGAGGAAAAAAAAGAAAAAATACAGTGACTGTGCCTGGGAAATCATCAAAGTACAGGTTAGGAGAGGGACTGCTTTCTTCCTAAGGAAAACTGAAGTAAACGTTAACTGAGGATGGAGAACTTGGGTCACCTTGCAATGATTCTTCCTGATTAATTACTGTTAATCTTTGAGATGTGTATTTGCTCATCTCAAAAACTCATTTGTGCTTCATTTACATTTTACTGAATCAAATTCAGTAAATTCTCTAATAATAATTTTAAGCATGTGTGTATTTTAGAAATAATTGCTCTTGTTTGTTCTACCTATCCATCTATTTATTTGTTTTCATTTCTTTTTGCATATGTTGCATGGACTTACAAACAAATATTGGGCCAAGAAGATGGCTCATTAGAATAAACACTTCCCTGGCAAGCGCAAGGGTCTGAGTTCAATCTCCAGTTCCACCAAACAAAAGCAAAAAACAAATATTTACATATAATGTTACTCTATATTTCATTAAAATTTATAAAAAACTTCACATTTCCATGTTATTTAATTTGCTTTATTTATTTAATTCATATAATAACTCCCTAAGTTAATCTGTTCTGAAACAAATTCAATATCCTTTGTTGGCAACACTTTTGTAAACAAAAGTAAGAATGCTATCCTTTAGTGACAATAAATATGTAAATTGAATAAGTAGAGGATTTGCTTCAAGAATTGAAGATGAATAATATAGTTCTGCTGTTTGGGCTCAGTGTACAGGGAAGGAGACAAAACATGCTGCTTATGGTTATTTACATTACAGTAAATTCATAAAGAGAAATAAAGGGAATTACAGGCCCACACTAGATGTTTTAGATGTGAATGATGCCTGGGTGAAACATAAACTGTATATCCTTTCTCAGTGTCTGGGAAATAACAGTGCAGACTTGCAGGCTGAGGAGATAGCTGGGCAGTCTAGGCACCTGCCTGGCAAGCGCAAGGACCCAAGTTTAGTCCCTAAAATGACATGCCATGCCAGCCCAGAACCCCAGGTACACTGTGCGGGCCACCAAAACAGAGCATGGTGACGCATGCCTGTAATCCCAGAGCTTGTGAGGCTGAGCTGTGTAGAGACCCTGTAGTAAGTAAAAAATATTTTTTAGGGCCAGCCAAATAGCTCAGTGGATTAAAGCACCTGCAAGCAGGTGCAGAGGCCAGGGGTTCGATCCCTGTGCTGGCCCCATCCCCAGGGTGCTCTAAGCAATTGAGGCTAGGCATAAAGGTGCACGTCTATAATCCCAGCTCTTGGGAGGCTGTAAACAGGCAGATCACTACTGAGTCCAATCTAGTAGTGAGACCCTGAGCACTCTGTAGACCCTTAAAAAAAAAAAAAAAAAAAAAAAAAATATATATATATATATATATATATGTGTGTGTGTGTGTGTGTGTGTGTGCAGACTTAAATAGAAGAAAATGAAATTCCTCAAAAAGACTCAATAGATAAGGAGATTTAATGAGATACATAAGAATTCAGACAAAATTAGGAAAGCAATTCTAAATATGAATGAACAGAATAGCAGAGATAGAGATAAAAAAGAATGAAACCGAAATCTTGGATCGGAACTCAGTAGCTCAAATTAAAATACAGTCAACAGCTTCACTGACAGACTAGATAAAACATAAGAACTGCTGAACTTTCTGTCTTACAGACAGTATCCTGTACTAGTGCAGACCCTATGCATAGAGGCAAAATTACCAATAGATAAGTTTGAGAAACGATCTAAATGTCTATTACCAGATAAAATCTATAGTATATATACATGGAGGAGTATCATTCAGCTATAAAAAGACTGAAATCGTGTCATTTGCAAGAAAATGGGATGCATCAGAAGACCACTGTGGTAAGTGAAATAATCCAGGAGACTCTCCACGCCAAGAGAATAGTGGCCATCCCTCGTGACAGCAGGACCAAGTTCCTCTGACAGTGAGAACAACCAAGTTGTTCATATCAGGAGAACAAGTCCAAGAGCATGCAATCTTCGCTTCTATTTCTCCTTTTATGCCTTTCCACCCAGAACCAAGATGACTCAGGGTATTCTCACTTAAATTGACCGTTAGTTAATCCACCACAGTTCTCAAGGCTTGATTATATTGTAGATGAGTAAGGCTGAATAATATTCATTGTATCCGCATGCCACATTTTGCTAAATAATATTATATGGCTAGATAGTACTGCATTGTAAAGGTCAAAATATCCCTTTCAATGTATAGTGGAGTACATATAAAGAAAGCTAAGTAACATTCCATTGTATATGTATATGTTATTTTTTTCTTCATCTATCTGTTGATAGTTTGGCTGCTTTCAATTTTTGGCTTTTGTGAATAATGCTGTTATGAATATGAGTATACAAATCTATTTCCAAATCCTTTTAATTCCTTTGGACATATACCCAGAAGTAGAAGTGATAGATATGGAAATTCCATCTTTAATTTTCTTGGAACATCATTATTAATTTCTTGTTTTGGCTGGTCTGCACCATTTAATATTCTGACAGTTGTACAGAGGTTTCGATTTCCCTCATCTACGCCACCACTTACCATACATTTGGGTTTTCTTGCGTGTTTTTTCTTTTTATAGGAGACACCATGATATATGTGCTAGCTCATTTTGATTTGGATTTGTCTCAACTAATGATGCTGAGCATCTCATTATTATTTAGCCCTTCTACTATCTGGTATTCTACAACAAAATACCATTAACTGGGTAGTTTATGAACACCAGAAATTTATTCTTAGAATTCTGTAGGCTGAGAAGAGTCTGAAACGTGTGTCTAGTTGGTGGGCTTATTTCTTGGTTCAATAAGTGGCACCTTTTTCTATTCTCACATGTTGGAAGAGAAGCTAAATCTCTAGGTCTCTTTGTAAGGACACTAATTCCATCACAAAAGCTCTGTACTCATGACTTAACCACCTGGTAAAGGCCCCACCTAATGTGGCCTTCTGATTAACATTCCATCATATGAAGTTGGCAGTATACAACATTCAAACCAGAGTAATATTCTTGTTGATCATTTATTTGTCTTATTTGGAGATATGTCTATTCAAGTTATTTGTTGTTTTCAAATTAAATTCTACTGTATTGTTAAATTACAGAAGTTCCTTTTATATACTGGTTTTTACCTCATAATGTGATATATGTTATGCAAATATTTTTCTTCATTCTGAAAACTGCCTTTTTATACTTTTGATTGTATTCTTGATGGATGAAATGCAAAATTTGATATAGTCTACTTCTGCTTCAGTTGTCTGTACTTTTTTGTATTATATACAAAAATTCAGTACTAAATCTAATGTGATGCTTTTCCTCTTCAGTTTTTCTTTGGTTTTTGTACTCTGTTTCTTTTGGCTTTGTACATATTTCAGGATGTACAGGTGTGCCATGCGGAAGCTGCAGTTTCACTTCCAGATTACCACAATGAAGCAAATTTCACACAGTCATATACAGTATTTAGTTTCCCAGTGAATATAAAGGTTATATCAAAGTTTATTAAGTGCATTCCATCTTTTAAAAATATGTACCTTAATTAAAAACTATATCTAAAAATGCTTTTGTTCATCTGAACCTTCAACAAATCCAAATCCTTTTACTTGTGGAAGACCTTGCCTCAGTGTTAAAGGCTACTGACCAATCACTGTCTTGCTAAAGAATGCGGTGACTGGCAGTTTCTTACACTAAGACCATAATGAAGTTTCCAACATCCAGTAAGTTCTCATTTTATGAAAGATTTCTCTGTACCATATGATGCAGCTAAGTGGCATTTTCTACAGAGTAGAATTCCTTCAAAATTCCACAGTAAGGGCTGAGGAGATGGCAGTAGCATAAGCACTTGCCTGGCAGGCACAAGGTCCTGAGTTCAAGCCCCCATACAAAAAAAAAAATTCTAAACTATGTACAGAACTAAAAAAAAATCAGACCCT